GTTGGGCTTCATGTATTACGGAAGCATAAGGTTGGCCCTCATGTATTACGGAAGCATAAAGTTGGCCCTCATATATTAAGGAAGCATAAGGTTGGCCCTCAGGTATTACGGAAGCATAAGGTTGACCCTCATGTATTACGGAAGCATAAGGTTGACCCTTAACACACTGACACTCACACAGAGGTGTTTCAATTGGATCCAAAAAATATTTTAATAATCATTTACATCTTATTTATAGAGAATAATAAATAAAATAAAATATGTTATTTGAATTAAATTTGGAGTCTATTCTATGGGGTATAAGGAGTTAGCAATTGCACTGAGAATTCTGATGAGCACTTCTATCGAGAATCTATGGAGTATAAGGAGTCCGCACTTCTCATCGAGGATTTAAATCTTTTGCTTTTCTCGATGTTATCTTTAAATGTCCAAAAGTCCGGAGTTGGTTGCGAACCCGTTCTTTTGAATATGAGTAGATATTTATCTCTTGTTTCCTGTTTAGTGTTGAGTTTCTGGTTCCTTCTAAAGTCTACTCATTCTCTTTCAGTATCAGTAGATTTTTTCATGTTAGTCGCAGTGGGTGAATTGATTTAAAAAAATATTAAATCTTTTGTTGCAAAACTCTTCACTTAAGACGACACTGACTCGATACCAGGCACAGAAAGAAAAGTGCCATCAGTCCTATAAAATTAAGTAAAACAAAGCCCCCAAACAAAGAGAATTAACTATAAAATAAAAAAAGACAACATCCTCGATCCAAAGTCCCTTGAATTGCACACTTCATCTTCTCATTTAAGATGGTCTTATACGGGATGTATAGTTTTGTAATGGCGTATATTATTTTTGCGAAATATTCAGCATTTGGGTTTTGTGTCCCAATCACTGCACGACCTTAGGATGGTCCTAAAAAACCGTTTTTGCATCTCAGTTATGATTAATTTCCTTGTTTCTTCTTCCATGAATTGACATAGAACCAAAAATATAGTTTGAAATAAAGGGAAAAAATATGCTGAAATGCTATCAACCCATATAATAATTAACAATGTGTATCTCTATCTATAAAAGGCAGGATGTGTGTGTGTGTGTGTGTGTGTGTGTGTGTGTGTGTGTGTGTGTGTGTAACGAATGCACGGCCACAATTTCCGACGGATTTGCACCAAAATTTACATGCACATGCTCCAAGTTAGCAGGAAGGCCAAGACCGACTTTGCATTTCCCAACTCCCATCGATAGTGGAAATAATCGATTTTTTCATGTTTCTACCACAGTTTTCATGTAGTTTGCGGCCATTTTCTACTGGCAAGTGTGAGAGCCTATAGCTGGCTGCCACGAATAGGCAGGAAGATTCTATTGGCCAGCGTAAGATCAAACAGCTGACTGACAAGAATGTTAACTAGCATGCAAAAAATATCGATAGCTGCATTCGTCACAAGTGGGAAAAATTTAAATCTGCATGGCACTTTACTCCAATTGGCTCATTCGTTTGCTTAAACTCAACGTTGATTCTGATTCCGCAGAACTGGGTTGGGTGTGAAAAAGTATTTGTTGTTAACATTCTTTTTTCATTCGGTTTTTCCAGTTACGAGTCCTTTTTTAAAGCTGATCGTTTTGTGTTCATTTTGTTTAGTTCTTTTTTCGTAACAGATTTAATGTTTAGTATAGAGCTTAGAAAAAATTCGCAGTGTGAGATAGGCAAGAAGTAAGGCATGTAGCAACATCAGCACAGCAAAGGGCACTCCTTTAAAGGCAAGGAAGGTCAAAAATATTTTAAGTAAAGTGATAGTGATTGCTGTATGTCGTACGATTTTTGAATCAAGCATGGGCAACGCCGGGTCATGCTGCTAGTTTATTAATATATTTTCTCTCCCATCTGTAGTTGGAATGGAGATAAATCAACATGCGTTTGTAAATTTATCAGTAATTTTTTGCCTTGATTGTCTGAATAATCTACAGTGTGATTTAAAATAATTCCCTATTTTATGTATAATTGGACAGCCAGGAGTACTGACTTAACAGAGTGACTTTTTTCATTGGAGTTGGTTAAAGGAGGAAGTCTTCTATATCAAACCAAAACTTTTCAAGAACTTGAAGAGCGAATACAAGAAATTATGTCTTCCTTATCACAAGAGTTCCTGGTGAAACACTTGACGTGATTTCTGGGCGGTTCGAAAGCTGGTAGCGAAATCTGATAACCATATCGAATGTTAAATAAAACCTTATGCTAAGGTCTTTCTTCTCATATTCGTTTCTCGTAAAAAAAATTATAGTTAATGAATCAATAAATTTTAAAACGGTCAGTTACTTTTCAGTTACCCTGTATACGAATATAAATATTTATCTTCATTTAGACAAAATAACTTCCCAAGCAAAATGAACTTTTTAATTACTCAGTTCCTTTCTCTTCTCTCTCTTTTGTAACGGCATTCGAGGTGGGTTGATCCGGCTCCAATATTGGAGTTTCATGGGAATTTGGAATTCACAAGCGGTCCCCAAACCCGCATGGATAGCACATGAGATTTGATTATAATGGTGAAGGTTTCGTGCAGGACCATCCACACTTTTTGAAGGGCCGGATACAGAGACCTGGTGCACTACGTGCCACAAGCTTCCCAAACGACCCTCCGCAGGTTTTAAATTCAGAGTTTTCCTTCTAGACCAGTTGCCACCCAAGAACCCAGTCTGTCCTGCTATTTACCACTGGAGGGAGAAGAAGAGGATTCACACCTTTCCCAACATATAAGTGAATGTAGTGGATTCGACTGGATTTCGAACTCGGCTCTCCGATTCCCCAATCCAAGCCGCTATCCATTACCCCACCGTGCATTCTCCTTTACTCGTACGTTTCTCAGATTGCAGTCATATTTGTTTGAATTAAATGCATTTTGATTAAGAGATGCAATGTTTCGGTCCTTGTACGCTCCTTCCTCCTTCAAACTGAACCTTTTATTTCGTCAATCGGGGTAGATTCCGGATGTCTCAGTACGATTTATCTCCCTTTAACTTAAATCTTTCAACTTTTTTTTATTCTGAAGACGGCTGGAGATTACAACAGCCGAGATGTCGTGAATATAGCAACAAAGATTAGGACAACAGTCCGAACAATGTAAATAGTGTAAGTAATTACAATACCGTATATCAGAATTATAGACAGAGTTGCAGGATGATATCTTACATTGCGCAACGGTTCAATGCTCAGCACACATCAAGGAGTTATAATCAATGTTAAATGAAAATTAAATTAGAATTTAACAAGAAATATAGATTCGGGCTTGATGCGCGCGTAGCCTAGGGGTTATCAGCGCGGAAAATGTTACTAGAATGCCGGGATATAATTGCAACCGAGGACGTGCATTCACTTTCGCGAAAAAAAACCTTGTAAAGGTATCTCTTCCACCCCCTCACAGCTATGATTTAAATAGCAATGTTGACTAGAACCTCTAGGCTTTGTCATGTCAACAAGTTTAGTAAAAGGAAAATTCTGAATTCATATCTAGCCCGAAGATGAATGGCCTCTGTCAGGCTATACTGAATTATACTTTCTGTTGTTATTGACGTTGGGCCTAACGGTTTCTATCTATCTATCTATCTATCTATCTATCTATCTATCTATCTATCTATCTATCTAGACAGACAGACAGACAGACAGAGAGAGAGAGAGCGAGAAAGAGAGAGAGTGTGTCTTTCATGCTAAACTCAGTCCTCAAACCTGACGATTACGTTTAGCCTGAAACAGACTGTCGCCTCTGAGCGTTGACATCAACGTTCAATTTTATATTTACAGTGTAACCCGGATATAAGAGAGTTGTCGGGACCGGAGAAGAAATCTTATCGGGTTTATCTTATATCCGGGTTTGGTCTATTTTGAATAGGTATACGGGCTCTAATTTGGGACCAGAAAAATCTATCTTATATCCGGGTCTCTTATATCCGGGTCTCTTATATCCGGGTTACACTGTACATACGATCTATTCCTGACATTGAGCACTTTAACCCTTGAATATAGCATACCTGAACACTATATTTTATCATATATAAGTCCGACAATTATTTAAAGACATTTTTATGTTTAATATTCTATGAAAATTTCTCGGACATTCAGGCCGGTAAATGTTATTTAATACTGTTTATTATAAACAGAGCATTTACTAAAATACTTGTATCTATAAAAAGAATGTTAAACATAAAATGTCTTTAAATACATATATATATATATATATATATATATATATATATATATATATATATATATATATAGTCTTAAGGTGTGCTATATTTATGGAATAAAGTGCTCAATATCAGAGATAGAGCGTGTGTAAATATAAAAGAGAACACTTAGAGGCGACAGTCTGTTTCATGCTATATGCAATCGTCAGGCAACATATGCTGTTATTTTTATCGGCTATTTATATATATACGGGTTAGTGGTGCATTGTGGGTATTCTATTATGGCGGTTATTTTACCGAAAGTCGTTTGTTTATTTATTTGGGTCAAATTATATTGCTCGTTTTTATTTTTTGTTTCTTATTTTATTTATTTATTTATTAACGTAGTAAAAAATTGTTTATATCACTTATTTAACAGTTTTGTTTTTGTTTGAGAATTTAACTGAAGCTATTTGTTCAATTTTTGGGGTTGGTTGTTGTAGTTCATTCTAACTATTATTTTGGCGGGAACAGTTTTTAATTTGGGATTGGTTTGTCTATTTATTTACTTGGATGAATTTAGGTCAATTTATTTGTATATTTTCTCTTTTCGGTTTTTAAGCAACATAGTATTTATATATGTAAATAAAAAGAAAGAACCGTAAGATATTTATGACAAAATTAAATTCGGGGTTTTTGCTTCCATTTTTGAAACATGATTAGAACTGTGTAGGGAAAAGAACATATTTTAAATCCATTAATTTTAATAATAATAATAATAATAATAATATATATATATATATATATATATATATATATATATATATATATATATATGTCTGTATGTGTGTGTGTGTATGTCTTGTGTATCTATCTATCTATCTATCTATCTATCTATCTATCTATCTATCTATCTCAGCCTTCTCATATCTAACAATCTATACCTGTTCATATCTATCTATTTATGTAAATATCTATGACAGTCTGTGCGCAAAAGAAAACCTGTTTTTGAAAGCTCATTTTCAGGACAGAAAACAGGTAAGCCGCTTTTTGATACAATGGCGCTTTCAAGTCGTTTCGCCAATAAATTACCGAATTTACTGTTTTGACATTTATTATTATCGATGCGGCATGTGAAATGTTTTCGTTAAGTCATTGGATTGTAAGCCATTTTCGGCTGTCTGATAATATAAGATAATCACTGAAAATCTGTATCCTCACATCTAATTAAGAATACGCGTACAAAATGACGCATATGGATGCGCAGAAATATTATACACTGACGGGCCAAAAGTTAATGGTCTCAGTATATAAAGATAACAGTAGGTGGCGCCATCGAACATTCAGTAGTAGGATGGTCTTCATCAAGATCCAAAGCTGTTTTTAACTATTGATATTTGAAAATGTTTGTATACAGCTAACATTTTGGATATTTCTGACACAGGTTTGACGCTATGTATAGCAAACACCAAAGGACCCTATCCGATGAGGCTAACATGTTTTCAGGTTAATGTTTTGGTTTTGCAGCAATTGGTGGTGTTGGTCGAAACTACCTCTCGCAAAGCCTACTCTATCATCTGCATAGCCGCTCTCACCCCCAGTACATTAATAGAAGGAGCAATACGGAATTTGTTAGTCGATAACTTTTTAAATGATTAGTGCCCAACTCTTCACATCTGTGCTTGTAAATGCGTCGGTCATATTCTATAACATTTTCTGCTTTGATTATCTCGAAGGCAGTTGACACGGCTTGGCACATTGTTCTTCTTCACAAGTTGAAAGGTTATGGCTTTTCTTGTCGAATTGTTTAACTGAATTACTCTTTCTTATTGAATCACGGAATTAACCACGTTTGGAACGACCACTCTTCTAGATCTTTTCGCATTAATGCAAGCGTCCAGTAGAGCTCTATCCTTGGACTGACGTTGTTCCTAATTTTCATCAAGGAATTTTCTGGTGTTTATCAGCTCCCAACTCGGTATCTATGCTAATGGCACAACCATTTATTTCTCTTTTAATATTAAGTGTGGACGGTTCGACAAGGTAAAATTGGCAGCTAATTTGAAAAATGACCTAGAATCATTTGTTATCTGGGGCAAGGAATGGCATCTTATTTTTAACGCATCTATCACAAATCTACTGCGTTTTCATCGTCTGAGAGAACCCTTTTTGCTTTCCATCAGCATCACTGATGCTAACTTCCTCGATAGAAACTCATTGTGGCTTCCCGAGACAACGTTGTCCACCGAAATCAAATTGAAATATTATATTGAATCAAATGCTAGGTCTGCTGCTAGAAAAGACAGTTTTTCTCGTCAAAATCTCTTTTACACATATATAATCTACCATTCGTGCTTGCTTCGAATATTGCTGCCTCATCTAGTTTGGTGCTTCTGCTATATCATTAGGAATTCTTGATAAAATCCAAAAAAAGAATCTGCAATGTTATTGGTCCTAACGTAGCATCTCGTCTTCAGTCTATTCTCCTCCCCACGTAATATAGCTTCTGAATTTTTCTGAAGAACTTTCCTCTATGGTACGTAGACTTTATGACTTTAAGCGCCGTACTAGATAGGCAGTAAAGTTTCATTATTTTATAATGGAAATGTGAGTGTTTTGATCTTCAAACAATTAAATGTAATGTCAATCGTTATATTCTGTCATCTTAACTCTCATTCTTTTATTGATAGCTTTCCTTAAAAGTACTTTGCACTCAGTAAACTCTTGCGTCCTAGTGGCTTTATTGCCTTGTTTGGAGTGAAATGATTGATAAAAAAATCAAAAACAAAACAAAATATCATTTGTTCTAAAATCAGCTTCAGTGATCTAAAATTAGCTTTAGATGACAGTACCGTTTTAATTATTTTTTCAGTTCCCAAATTAAGCAGTTTTTACCCAGTCTCCAAGACATTTCCAGCAGCATCTCGAGAAACACGCGAATTAAGAAATTAAAAAAAGCATTATGCTAAACGATTCTTCTATGTTCTCGCTTGTGGAACTCTCTGACCGTTTCTTCCTTCCCAGTCATCTTTGTTATTCAAAAATTTAAACGCAATGTCAATCGTTATCTTCTGTTTATTTAATTCTCGTTCTTTTATTATTCTCTCACCGTAATAGTAATTTTTATCATATTCTCTAAAATTCAGTAACACATACTTATAGTTTTATTACCTTAGTAAAATTATTAAAAAAAAACGAATGAAAACTCTTATGAGAACATTGATCAGCGAACATCTGAATGAAAATAAGCCGACTATCTTTATATTTAGGACGACACAAAAACTCTTTGATTGCACTATGGACTCACACATTATATTCTCCTCCCCAGTCTTTTGACCGGAAGAAGAGGATTATTCCTGTTTAAGACTGGGTTTCTCGGTCCTTCTAAAATCTTCAACTGTATACTTGTAATATCTCTGAGCTCCGAAAGATTATTCACTAAATATTTATATTGTCTTCCATTACATAGAGTCACCCATCGTCCGTTCTTCTGAGCATAAGTACAGGTTTATCCTCTACTAGCAGTAGAGCCCGGCGTTGCCCGGGGATGTAACAGTAAGAGATAGAGCAAGTATCGACCATCATAAAGACTGAAAAATAAGATTGACAAAGATTATTGTTTAAGGTTGACGGACACGCATGTTTTAATTTTTTTTTTTTTGGTCAAACCCAAGCTCAAACAAAAACATTGTTTTCAATCGTTATGAGTCTAACGATTGAATAGAATTTTTCAATTTTATTATAAACAATTGTCTTGTAAATGGAATTTTAAAAGCATTCTGAATATAAAAATAAAGAAAAAAGTGTGCAAGACAATAAGAAACACTACCTGCCAAAAAAATAAAAATGAAGTTTTGTTAAAATCAGTTGAAAAATGTAGGAAATCCGATCTCATATATAAACGAACACAGACACACACTTACAAACAACCTGGGTTTTATAATAAGTATAACTCGATATGAGTTGTCCCCCTTTCATTCTCGCGATGCCTCTTAATCGTGTTTTCAAATTGATTTCGTGCAAAAACAATTGTATTTTTCCAATTTTGGGCGCTGTCAGAACCACCGCAAGGTAATTGTACGTAGTCCTGTGAAGTTTTGTTGAAATCGGTTGAAAAATGGAGGAAATCCGATCCAATATATAAACACACACACACACACACACACACACACACACACACACACACACACACACACAATCTGGGTTTTATAATAAGTATGATTTCCTCTTTAGGAATGAGATCTAGGTCTTTCTATAGTCAACTTCCACACTATAATCGTGGCGTTAGCCATTATCTTTCCTGCATAGCTTTAAGGTCTTCTTGCCCCTTCTTACGCTCATATAACATCACCTATTAACCCTCTAGCCTAAGTGGTTCTTCGGTCTTGCATTGCACTGGGAAGTTGAGTAAAGGTTTTATTTACACCATAGAAGAATTCTAGGCTTCAAAAAAAGCATATGTAAAACAGGGTAATAAGATTATTTGTATTCACCACAATTCATTTGGACAAAGAACAAACGAGTTTCGTAAACCAGGATTTGAAATACTACTCGTTACCAAATACTACGCAGGTGAAGGTTTGCAATAGGAATTTAAAATTTAAATGCAATGTCAATGGTAATCTTCTGTTTATTTCACTCTTGTTCATTTAAAGTTCTCTTTCTTTATTCAGTAACAGATTGCGTCTTAATGGTTTCATTACTTTCCTTGGGCTCAAACTAGTAAAAAAAAATATTAAAAACAAATGAAAAACACTATTACGAGGATATCTGAATGAAAGTAATGTTTGGGTTGAAAATGAGCCAACTATCTTTATATTTACAAGGACACAAAAGATCTATGATTTCACTAGGTACTCACAAATTACACCCTCCTACCCGGTCTTTTGACCAGGAGAAGTGGGTTATTCCTTATTTCCTATCGAAAAGTAGGTTTTTCGTTCCTTCTAAAGTCTACTTCAACTCTATACTCCAAAAGTCTCTAACTGAATCCCGAAAGATTATTCACTAATTATTCATATTTTTTATTATCTTCCTAAAAATAGGTTCGCCTATCATACTCCTCCCCGAATCTTCGAAACTGGAGTAGACGTCTATCCATAATTCCCTCTTTAGGAATGGAATTTCGGTTCCTCTATATATTCTACTTCCACACTATACTACTGACCTGGCATTTCGGATTCAACATTTTTTCTAACCGTCTTAACGCAGCTTCTCGGTGCCTTTTTTTTAAAAATAAATACTTGATAATTGTTCGGATGAGATCTTCGCTATGGTACCTAGACTATAAGAATTTACGATTGGCTACAAGGTCTTATATATTTACAGTTGATTTACTAACAGTTTCTTCTCTCGCACTTCTTTCTTGTGGAACTCTCTACTGGATTCTTGCTTCTCAGTCAGTTTTTATCTTCAAAAATATAAATACAATATCAGTAGTTAACTAGTGTCTTCTTAGTTCTTCTTCCTTTATTGTAAGTCCTTAATAGTTCATTTTTCTGAATTCACACTATTCATAGTACCCCTTTGAAGTTTGTTGCCTTACTTGGGGTGAAATGAATAACAAATAAAATAGAACTCTTATTTCCTCATTGTCGTAGTCTTGATGAGTCTTGGCATATTTCCGTTATTGGGCCTGCGTCAGATGGATATTTTTGTTTCCCTCTGTAATTCTACTTTGTGCAAATTAATTGAAGCAAAACGAATAATTCCGTTATTATTTACTTTGTCGTATTTTTAAAATGAAACATAGCCCAGCGCAGATGTTAGTACTTCGTATGTACATTCCACGAAGCCGTTCCTTGCACAGATTTTCGACTGGATTTAAATCAGGAGAGTTTCTGAGACAGTCTATAGTACTTTGATTTGCTCACTGGTAAGGTTTGTCAGTGTGTTCGTGCAGCGTTACAATTTTCGTACGCTTCCTTAGAGTAACGTCCATCGCAGACAATGGCCATAGGACAACTAATCGACAATCGAAACAATAGTCTCTGGGAGGGATAAAAATATGATGTAATCACGGATAACGTAATATTTTTCAAGGCCAAACAAATTTCATCATAAACCCCGGGAATAGATTCATATTACTGTACACCACTGCAAATGAACTAATCTGAGGAGAAATAGAAATCGATGACACCTTGTCACTCCAGTGCGTCTAAAAACTGACCGTATGGTGAAAGAAAGAAAACGGAAGTGATTGTTTAAATTAATTTGCATAACGGTGTATGTAATTTTATAGAGTTACTTGATAAAGCATATGCAGTTAGTATATTCCTTACCAGAACGAAAACCAAATCGTGAGGGGTTTACTTTGTGTTATGGTCCGGTTCCTTGTACCACGGTGATAGTCCAAGGTAGAACCAATAAAGAAGAACTCGAACACAGGTATAGAATAACACAGATATATTACAAACAGGAATATATACAGAGAAGTAGAAGTGTTAGTGTGAACAATCAGGTTTAGTAGAGAGAACAATGTAGTCTAGACCAGTATCACTATTCCAATGTCTTTCAGTAATTGTCTGAACGCGACTCTGTTTCGGAATGCCTCTGACTCGACTCTTGACTCGACTTGAACTACTGACCCCTTGCCTACTCCTGAAGCGCAGTATTTATTAAGTATGGAATAGTCCATTATTATTATTATGGGCAAGATCCCATAACACTTTGATAAAACGATGAGATCCTAGATAATATAAAAATCACTAATACATTCACCATTGGATCAAACTTGAGATATCCATCTGTGGATTACTTGAAGATGAAACATATTTTATTTTTCATAAGAATTCATTTTTTTGCAAGTGAACATTTCATTAACAAAGTACACGCCCAACCATTTCACCCATCACTGGAGCAGGTGAAGGTATTTGAGCACAAGAGAATATAACGTGCCCAACAATGGATGGTGTAGTTACTGGATTCCCTCTTAATTCACAAAGACGAAACTTATACAGGTCAGACCATTCGTTCTAGCCTTGAATACTACTGCCATAAATGTTCTAGTGCCCCCGATGTTCATCTCGAGGTCCTCAACAAAATCCAGAGACGGATATGCTATATAATAGGTCCTAATCAGGCATCTCCCATATGCTCACTCTCTCACAGACGCGCTGTGGCTTCCCTCTGTCTTTTCTTCATGTATTTTCATGGCAACTTCTCTGACGAGCTGCTTTCACTGGTTCCCAAAATAGATGAATTTAGGCGCGCTATTAGGCTAGCAACTCGGTCTCCACTTTCAATGTCGAAACGATTAAATATAGCCATCTATCTATCTATCTATCTATCTATCTATCTATCTATCTATCTATCTCAGCCTGTTCGTATCTATCTATCTATCTATCTATCTATCTATCTATCTATCTATCTATCTCAGCCTGTTCGTATCTATCTATCTCAGGCTCTTCATTATCTATCTATCTATCTATCTATCTATCTATCTATCTATCTATCTATCTATCTCAGGCTCTTCGTTATCTATCTATCTATCTATCTATCTATCTATCTATCTATCTATCTATCTATCTATCTCATCTAGTATCTATCTATCTATCTATCTATCTATCTATCTATATGGTGGTTTCAATATTAAATAACCCGAAATGCTTTCATAAGAATGAAACAACGATAAATTCTATATAAATTAATGTATGAAAAAGCGTTTACGTTTTCTGTATATACGTATATATATATATATATATATATATATATATATATATATATATATATATATATATATAGAGAGAGAGAGATAGATAGAGAGAAAGAGAGAGAGATTAATAGATTGATAGATGGATAAATATGTTTGTGTATATACGAGTACACATACAGCTTTCATTTTTGTTGGATTTGATAACTAGGTTAATAGAAATTTATGCATTATCGCGTCACTTTTATATATTGCAAATGGCTTTTTGCCATAATATTTTCCCGCTATTTTGAGATACCCACTTTGAATATTATCGCTGCGAGAGCACAAAAAGAATTCTGTCAAAACGATAGCATCAAAATGGCAAAAAAAAGCCTTTGTTGTGAAACGTAGCAATAAAATATGACCAATCAGCACAAATCAAGTAATATTTTTCAACCAATAAAAATAGGAAAATTACTGACCGCCAAAATAATTGTTTCTGCTCGCGTAAATAAGGAATTCCTAACTATAACGTAAATTTAACTCTTCAGTCCGTTTTAAAATCTCATGAACCTCAATAATTAGAAATGCCTTTGATAATTTTTTAATGATTAATTCAGATGTTAAAACAAAGCGGGAATTAATTCTTTACGTAGTTTGAAGACGTTTTGTTAAAGTTATTGGATTTATTAAAAAAATATGACGTCATTAGAAAATAACTTTTTACTTCTATAAAAAGTTACTAAAATCATCAACAATTGATCAACACCTATTATAGAACAAATAACAAACATATAAGTCTTTGAAGAACATACATCTCCATATAGTGTGCCTTCTCAATAGCAGCCAGCAATATATTATTAAATGATTTCGTTCAATTTCGTTCAATGTTTTTACTTCAGCAGCTTCACTTTCCAACATGGTAGATTTGATTTCTTCCCATAGGTCTGTTTTGCTGTGGTCTTCCTGTCCACCTTCCTGGAATTTCATCTTGACAGTTGACCGTAGATTTTAAATTGGATTCAGATCGAGGCTTTTAAACATTTTACGATCAATACATTCATAGGTAACTTTAGACACGTGAGAAGGAGTATTGTCGTGCATGAATACACACTTTATTTTGAAGCTGCGAGGCTGGAACTTATATCATTTGAATAAATTTTTGTTCATGAAAATCGCAGTATGAAGTTATACCTGTTTAGTACCGCTCTACCTTGAGTGGCTCTTGAACCTTTTATTGCTTGAACAATAGAAACAAATAATAAACAAATCTGTAGGTCTGAATGGTGCATCTCCCATATGCTCACTCTCTCACAGACGCGATGTGGCTTCCCTCTGTCCTTTCTTCATGTATTTTCATGGCAACTTCTGTGACGAGCTACTTTCACTGGTTCCCAAAATACATGAATTTAGGGGCGCTACTAGGCTAGCGAATTACTTAAAAAAAAGACACCAATTTGCTAAGTATTCTATATTTTTCTCATTCTTGGCCCCCTCAATTCCAGCAAATTCAAAGACTGAGCAGTAATTAAAATTGACGCGGTAGTTACTCGTTCACCCACTAGAACGAGATGTGACACAAGGTCTGTTTAATGTGGTGAGCCCGAGCGCATGCACCCGGGCAAGGAACAAAAATTCTTCGAGTCCCCGCAACCGTCAGTTGCGCTGGCCTTGGTGTGAGCACTGATCCCTTCCTCTGGTGCAATGGAAGGGCGTGGCTTCGGGCAGCTGTTCCCCAGGGCTGGGCACCTCTTCAGTACTATTTTCTCAGTTGTCCCTCTGTCCTTAGACAGAGAAGCCCCTGAGCACACTCTGTCCAAGGACAGAGACGCAACTGAGAGATGATAAATGATGCCCGTACACCCCTCCAAGGAGGGGGAGCACGACAGTCTCATTTTCGTTTACGTTTCCATCGAGGAGACATGTTCTTAATACCTTTTCATTTGCCTCTTTTTCTGGAATTGGAACTCAGCTCTCCGATAAACAATTCCGAGCTATTATCTATTACACCACCCACACATCCAAACTTATAGCGCTTGATATTCCTCAAGAGAACACCCATATCGGTATTGACCAGGCTCGACGTTGCTTACCTTCGGTGATCGTACGATCAGAGTAGAATAATAGATTTAAAAATATTCATATCATGATAGAATTATTATAAATTTTAATTACCTGGCACATGCCAGTCAGTGTAATCATATGTCAATTGCGCCTCTGTTTTCGGGCAGAGTGAGACCCGGTTGTGTTTATCCGCGGATAGAGACGCAGCCGTGGAAAATATATACTGTGAGGTGCCCGGTTCCGTTGCACTAAATAGCGGAAATCAGTAGTCATACCGACGGTTGTGGGATCTGAGCAATTTTTGCCCTTGGCATGGATGTACGAGCTCGGATTACCCACTTTAAGCCCGATCTTGTATCATATCACGTCCCAGTAGGGAAACCAAATTCAAATAATCCTATTATGAGAGGATCCGATAAAGAAATATAATAGAATCAGCGATCATTAATGTTTAAACCATGACGATTTCTTACGCCTGGTTTAGGTGGATTTAATAAATATAGCTTAGTTGTGACACTAGCTCACAGTAAAGAATCGAATACACTATTTATCCATAATTGATCCTGCATGAAAATCTTCCTAAACATTACAGATTTAGGCTTGCGAAGTTTTTATTTTTTATTTTGTAACGCCTTGCTTTCCCATCAAATGAACAATTACGGATAACGTACAAGCGTTTGCTGGAGAACAATATTTTATGAACAGTTTATTGTCCACAATTTAGCGACAAAGCCCCATTTATTCGCATTTTTTTTTTTATCCCGAATGCCTCAAACATTTGTATAATGCATCTATACATTACCATTGCTTTATTATCGTTAAAAAAAAAAAAACACTTATCAATTTTGTGTTCTTTTAGAAAAACGCTTTCATGTAGTCGTTCATTACTTCTCCTTTGTTGGTCGCTCTTTGTCGTGGTGGAAGGGCTTGCGTCGTCCAAGTACTCTGAGAGCGATGCCGGCGGGAGGTCTAAACTACTGAGGGTCAGCCTTGGCTGCAAGTTTCAGAACGATTACGCATACTAAGAGAGATCAATCCCAACGGCGGAACAAGCGGCTGACGATTACAACAGATCTCAACGGTTGAACCAGCGGATGCTGAGAGCTACGCATGACAGACATGTTACAGAAGGCGCCACTCAAAATTATAACATAGTCAGAGGCAGTCAGTCGACCCAGTACTTTCTGAGCGACTGTTCGGTTGTACTCTCTTCCTACGGACGGGAGGAACCCGAAGGAGGCTACGCCGAAGGGCGGAGTCTCCTTCGAGGAGGTAGACCGGCCCTGAACCCGATTATACGGGTTCAATGGTCATATTTTTAGCCGAGCCCACGAGCTCGGAGTGCCCACGTTAAAAAGGCCTAGTGCCACATGACACCCTGGGGGGGGTGACTGAATATCGTCAGTTGCAGTTTCATAACTGTATTCTGCATGTCTCATTCCATATGTGACTCAGACAAAGGACATGAAAAGTATGTAGGCAACTTTTTGGTCCACCTGAAACGAAATACACGCCATCGGAATTTTCTTTAACTCTTATTTTCTTTCACCGCCATTTCACACTTACAAAGCCAAACGCGGCAGGGAATGGTTGACCAGACTACGTTTTAGTGTAAGCTTGGACTTGCGGGAGGTATAATTTACTTACAGTTGTATCACGTTGAAACACCGGTTCTCGTACGATCAACGAAGTTAAGCAATATCGAGCCTGGTCAGTATCTAGATTGGTAACCGCTTCAAAATTTCAAAAGTTCTTAGGGTGGATGTGTGTGTTGTGTAATGGTTAAGGGCTCGGAAATGGGAATCGGAGAGCCGAATTGCAATAATCTAAAAAAAAAAAAATCTGACAGATTAAAAATATTTCCTGGTTTTAAATAGCCTTCAAAGGGTTGAGGCGTAGAAAATGAATCAATCAATCTACTGATTAAGCAGAAGAAATTAGTAAGACTTGTAAACTTATCGCGAAATATAATCTCTAAATCTAAAATTATTTTCTGGCTTTAAATAACCTGCAAAGAGTTGATAAGCCGTAAAAACGAATCAATCTACTGATTAAGCAGAAGAAATTAAAAGAAGAAATTAGTAAGACTTGTAAACCATTATTATCGCCAACATATATTCTCTAAATGTAAAAATATTTTCTGGCTTGAAATAACACGCAAAAGGTTGATAAACCGTAAAAACGAATCAATCAATATACTAATTAAACAGAAGAAATTAGTAAGACTTGTAAACCATTATTATTGCCAAATATAATCTCTAAATCTAAAATTATTTTCTGGCTTTAAACAACCTGCAAAAGGTTGACAAGCCGTAGAAAACGAATCAATCAATCAATCAACTGATTAAGCTGAAGAAATTAAAAAAGAAATTAGTAAGACCTGTAAACAATTATTATCTCCAAAATATATTCTTTGAATCTAAAAATAATGTCTGGCTTCAAAAAACCTGCAAAGGTCGATAAGCCGTAGAAAACGAATTAATCATTTTCTTAGCAAAATGAGATAGAGAAATAAATTATACGAGAGAGCATCTAAATTATTGATTTAATAATTATCACAACGTTTCGACCGTTGTACGCTCCGGCCTTCTTCAGATGGTTGGAATGTCGAACTGAACCCTTTATTTCGCTCGCTGGGGTAGACTGTTTTAATTCCACGTCTAATGTCTAATGGATGTCAGTTATCAGATATCTCATGTTAATTCCCCTCTCTCAAGATCTCCACTGCCTTAACCACTGTGTTATGTGCCCTTGAAGACACATGGCAAAGTGGATAAAGGCATTGGTTAGATCCATGGCAGGACCCAAAGAGTTCTGATTTCAATACATGTTTACATCTTTCTTATTTTTGATGATATCTTACGTCTTTTCTATATAATACATCCGATTTTCGTACGCTTAGGCTTTCTTTCTTTTTTCCTTTTTTCTTTCTTTCTTTTTTTTTCTTTCTTTCTGTATTTTCCGTTTCTTTCCTTTCTTAATTTATTTAATTCCTTTCTGTATTTTCCGTCGTATTAGTTTTCTTTTTTCCTTTCTTTCTTTTTTTTCTTTCTTTTTATTTTTCGAAAAGTTTTCTTTTCCTTTTTTCTATCTTTATTTAATTCCTTTCTGTAATTCATCGTATTCTTTCTTTTTTTTTCTTTCTTTCTTTCTTTTCTGTATTTTCCGTCGAAATAGTTTTTCTTTTCCTTTCTTTTTTTTCCTTTCTTTATTTCCTTTCTTTCCCATCGTATTATTCTTTCTTTCTTTTCTTTCTTTCTTTCTTTTTATTTTTCGAAATAGTTTTTCTTTTCCTTTCTTTTTCCTATCTTTATTTAATTCCTTTCTTAATTCCCATCGTATTATTCTTTCTTTCTTTCTTTCTTTCTTTCTGTATTTTCCGTCGAAATTTTTTTCTTTCTTTCTTTTTTATCTTTATTTAATTCCTTTCTGTAATTCGCATCGTATTATTTTTCTTTTTCTTTCTTTCTTTCTTTCTTTCTTTTTTCTGTATTTTCCGTCGAAATAGTTTTTTTTCCTTTATTTTCTTTTTTTCCTATCTTTATTTAATTCCTTTCTGTAATTCCATCGTATTATTCTTTTTTCTTTCTTTCTTTCGAAATAGTCATTTTTCTTTTCCTTTCTTTTTTTTTTTCCTATCTTTATTTAATTCCTTTCTGTAATTCGCATCGTATTATTCTTTTTCTTTTCTTTCTTTCTTTCTTTCTTTCAATTCCCTTTTTCTTTGTTCTGTCTGTCTGTCTTTCTTTCTTTCTTTCTTTCTTTCTTTTTTGATCATATCACACATTTCTTTCTATCACATTTTTTCTCCATGCCGCTTTCTCCATTAATCTTTTCTTCTTTCTTTCTGTGATATCTTACGTCTTTTCTATATATTCCATTCGTTTTTCGTACATTTAATTTTTTCTTTTCTTTCTTTCTTCTCGTTTTCTTCTCTTCAATTCCCTTTTTTCCCTTCAATTTCCTTTTTTTTCGTACATTTAATTTTTTCTTTTCTTTCTTTCTTCTCGTTTTCTTCTCTTCAATTCCCTTTTTTCCCTTCAATTTCCTTTTTTTCCCGTTAGATTGCAAAAAAACGCATAATCTACCTTGCGAGTTTTGAATAAATGCTTGTTGGAATAAGGTTTAGGGCAGAGAGCAAAACGAAAACATCTATTAAGACATACAAAGGACAGGAACTAGTGGATAGCCACGATCGCCAACATTCCCAAGGAACACGGCTCAGACAACAAGAAGAAAACGGCGACGTAAATATAAGCAAAGAAAATAAATCCAGCGAATGGTTAGAATCTAGCTAAAATAAATACACGGATATATTTTCAAGTGATTCAGAGAAACGAACAGTTGTCGAAAGAATGGAAGCATATAAATATATTTGAAAAACAGAAAAAAAATGCAAATAAACGAGAATATGACAAGAACTTACCGATAATTATATTATTCTGATTTAATTAAATGCATGTCTTACAGGCCGAACGGACGAATGTGAAAAGACTTTTGAAAAAAAAAAAAAGAGTCTCGTTCTTTGCGAGATTTTATTAACTCGGGCAAAATGGCGTCCAATTCTGGCGTAAAGTAAATGATGTCCCTGAGAGTGTTAAAGATGCCATATTTGTTAGCTCATAGTTTTTTCTTGGGATTGTTAAGAATTGACATTGGTGGGAAACAGCTATGGCCACAGAAACCAAGGAAACGTAATCCTCCAAAATTGATTGTCCCATGCATTTTTCTGACATTCTATCAAATTATAAGGAAACAATAACACGAGATATAATATTTCGTAAGCATTTGGTCATATTTACCAATTTTTTAAAATATTATTTATTGACTAGCAGCATGGCCCGGCGTTGCCCGTGCTTGATTCAAAATTCGTACGACTCATACAGCAATCGCTATCACTTGACTTTTTTTTTGCCCTTCCTTGCCTTTAAAGGAGTGCCCTTTCCCAACTCCCATCGATAGTGGAAATAATCGATTTTTTCATGCTTCTACGGCAGTTTTCATGTAGTCTGCGGCCATTTTGTACTGGTCAGAGTGAGTGCCTATAGCTGGCTGCCACAAATAGGCAGGAAGATTCTATTGGCCAGCGTGAGAGCCAAGAGCTGACTGACACGAATATTAACTAGCATGCTAGCAGGCAAAAAAAAATCGATAGCTGCATTCGTCACAAGTGGGAAAAATTTAAATCTGCATGGCACTTTACTCAAATTGGCTCATTCGCTTGCTTAAACTCAACGTTGATTCTGATTCCGCAGAATTGGGTTGTGTGTGAAAAAGTATTTGTTGTTAACATTCTTTTTCATTCGGTTTTTTTCAGTTACAAGTCCTTTTTTAAAGCTGATCGTTTTGTGTTCATTTTGTTTAGTTCTTTTTTCGTAACAGATTTAATGTTTAGTATAGAGCTTAGAAAAAATTCGCAGTGTGAGATAGGCAAGAAGTAAGGCATGTAGCAACATCAGCACGGCAAAGGGCACTCCTTTAAAGGCAAGGAAGGACAAAAAATATTTTAAGTCAAGTGATAGCGATTGCTGTATGAGTCGTACGATTTTTGAATCAAGCACGGGCAACGTCGGGCCATGCTGCTAGTCTTTTCTATATATTCCATTCGTTTTTCGTACATTTAAATTTTTCTTTTCTTTCTTTCTTCTCGTTTTCTTTTTCTTTCCTTCAATTGCCTTTTTCTTTGGTTTTTCTTTTGTTTTTATATTTGATGCTATGTTGCATCTTTTCTATATATTTCATTCGTTTTTTCTATTTCTTTCTTTCTTTCTTTCTTTCTTCACATTTCTTTTTTTCTTCCTTTATTTGATTTCCCCTTATCTTTGTTTGTTTGTTTCTTTTTTTATTTCCTTCATTTCCCCTTTTCTTTTCTTTCTTTGTTTCTTTGTTTTGTCTTTTTTTCTTTCTCTTTTTCTTTCTTTCTTCTTATTTTCTTTTTTCCTTCGATTCTATTTCTGCTTGTTCGGTCTTTCTTTTGATCTTACCTTACGTCTTTTCAATATTTTCCCTGTTTTTTTTTTCCATTATTTTTTTTTCTTTCTTTCTTTCTATTTTAACGTTATCTTCTCTTACTTTGCATCTTGGGTTTTTTTCTTCACGCCACTTATTTTTTTATTCCATTAACTTTTCTTTATCTCTTACTTTCCAATTCAGGTTTTCTTTATCATTTCTTTCTCTTTTTAGTGTTGACAAGCTTTCACCCTCTCCTCTTCTCTCCTAGCTTTTCTCTTCATCGTTAACGCTCCCCCTCCCACACTTATTATTTTCCGCTCATTTCCAGACACCCATTCATCCGAGCGATTGGTGATTGATCTAAGAGATTTTGTTCCTGATCTTGTCCGGCTTTGAAGCTTTCTATCCCCGACTGTACACACCTTCACCATTATCGGCCATCAAACACTTGTGAAGCCTCTCTTCCAACATTCTCCTTCTCTCATCTAGCTCCGCCTACATTACTGCCAAAGAACTCTTCGTTTACGTGTCTTTTCTTTTTTTTTTTTTGACTATTCCTTTCCACCTACCCCATCTTTTTTCTCTCTGGCTCGACAAGATAGCACGCGAACGACAAACAGAGACCGCCAAAATACTACTGCTTGTGTGAGGAAGCCTTGATCGACAGGCATGTGTCGCTGTCTGCGATGACCCGTCTATTTAGATATGCAAGATAATATTTTTATCGTTAGAAAATCGTAGATTTTTCAAGGATAAAAACGGTACCAGGCCCGGCAGGTTGTTTATATCTGTCTACAGGAATTGTTTTTTTTTATCACTTTAAACGTTATTTTTATTGGATATTCGTATTTGAGTAGAAGCTTCGTTTATTAATTAAACAGTATATTTATTTATTTTCATCTGCCGGTCTGAATATTCGAGAATTCTTATTAAAGATAAATATGCACTCTCCGGTATGATACGAACGTGCGTCCCTCAAGGCAGATGGAAAACGTCGTTAGATCCGACCTGTCTTAAACGGCTTGGCCACTGAGCAGCCAAGTTTGAACAATGTCTTTAAGCGAAAGGCTTCGCGTTACAAACTCTTCAACATTTTCGTATCCGCTCAGTTTCGTATCCAAACATCAAAAAAAAAAAAAAAAAAAGTTATCAGTCCGACAGATATTTTCATCATTTTATCCGGAGCGTCGAGTTCTGTCCAGAAGAACTGTTTTTTTTTTTATCGCTTTAAGCGTTATTTTAATGGATACTTATATTTAGGTAAACACTCCATTTATTTTTTTATTTTCGCCTACCGGCCTGGATATTCATGAAGTCATTCTTATTGGAGAATAAAATATGCTCTCCGGGGTTTTATGAAAATAAATATACTGATATCTGCGTGTCCATGTTGCTACCGAATGAGACACAAGGTCTTGTTGTCATAAGCCTTAAGTAAGACTATTTATGGTAAAAATTACGAATGATGATAAGTAAAGCTTCTGTTATGAAATTCCACATAGGGAGTGTAGTTATATGGAGTCAGTATTGGTTCTAGTATTCAAGTTCCATGCGACGAAAAGAAATATGACACGATGCCGAGTGTCAGTTTGGCAGTACAAAAGAAAAATTCTCAAGACACTCTGCAGTTCCCCATTTTGAAAACGCAGTCCCTTTCCTCCGCCGTGGCTTGAGTTGATAGGAGTGAACTCTTCTGTCGGTTAATCATACGAAACATTGTTCATAATCCCGCACCGGATTTATTGCCCGGCCACTTGTCGCTCGCGGATCAGGCTGCTATCTCACTTGGCGGCCCACAGAAGCCGGATGGAGTTGGAAGGACAGTGTCTTCGACAGCAATGACGGACATCCTTAAGCATACCACTGTCAATAGCAAAGTACTATTATATTTACTCGCCCCCCCCCACGATGATATAAGAATGATTTAACGTGGGGAACCCGAGCGTTTGCACTCGAACCCGTGTCAAAATTTTCCTCGCTTCCGTTGGTATCGATATTACTACCAATCCCACCTCTTTAGTGCAATAAGGAAGTCATGATGTCGGGCAGATGTACACCCCCCCCCGCCGCCTAGGGAACCGGACACTTCTTAATAATTTTGCAGTTGCGGTCTGTCCTCGGAGAGACACAAATGACAGATGATTCCGGTACATGTACCATGGTATTTACTCGTCTGCCCACGGTGACGTGATGTGACCCAAGACCGGTTTCATGTTGAACATCCGAACACCTACACCCGGGCTAGGATCAAAAATTGTACGAGGGTCATTCAATAAATAAGGTGAATTTTTCGGTATAAGGACTTCTAATACAGATAGAAGTTTACTTTTTTTAATTTTTCAACGTAGTCTCCCAGCACTGTCACACACTTTTCCCATCTGTGCACAAGCTTCCGTATTCCCTTAGCGTAAAAATCTTTGGATTGATGTCTCAGCCAGTCGCCCACAACACTTTTGACTTCATCGTCACTTTTAAACTTCGTTCCTCTCGTGAACGCTTTCAATGGACCAAACAGGTGAAAGTCTGAAGGGGGCAAGGTCTGGGCTGTAATGGGGATGAGGGGGCAGTTCCCAGCCCAGCTCGTTGATGGTCTGCAGCGTTTGGGCTGCTGTGTGAGGCCTTGCGTTGTCATGGTGCAAGATGATCTCTGCGTTTGTTCTTTATGTCTTTCTTGACCTGCCTCTGCTATTCACAGTAGTTCTTCTACCCTCGACTGCATGTATTTTAGCGTCCTACTAGATTAGTAATTATGTCTCGCCGTTTCACTGCTGAACTAAGTAGATGTAACCGTATCTTCTATACTAATAATTTCTTTTCTAGAT